CTCTTTTGAAGTGTCATTTCAGAAATGTCACGCAGGAAAATTTCCCCGTCCTGGTTTTTCAGACGAACGGCGTAATGGTATAAACATCTATGAACTTCCACATCCGCAAGATCCTCTAAAAAGAATTTGCCGTTTGTTTTAACATTGAAGCTTTTGATTGATTTGTCTTGATGAAAAAGAAGATATATTACTTTTAGACTAGTGAATTTTGTGTATATGTCCCTTAATGTAAAGCTGCTGCTAAATCTTACTTGCAGGGTTTGAAGAAGCTGCACACAGGAGACGGTTATCCTGCGATTCTGAGCCTTTGATTCTATCCCATTCTTCAAAGACATGTAAATAAGTAGTCTCTTCAGAAAGGTTACTGGGGTTAACTGTAAATCTAAAAGTTGAAAACAACCATTACATCAAACGTGTATGAAACGTGGTGTGCAGTATGCTATTTGACGTCCTTAATACTTAGTCTAATTTTTTTTAATTTGAGGTACAAAAACACAAAAAGGGAAAATGACTAACTTGAAATTTTTGGACACCCACTCAAGCTTCCCATCACAGTCATGCTTTCCTCCGATGTAACACAGAGAACATATATGGTATTTGCATTTATTACATTTCCATAGTAACCCTTTGAAGCGTGAATCAGATTTTCTATCTGCCTCATTATTCTGAGAGGTCGATGGCTTACTGCATTCTGTACATTCATCGTTTCCCAAAAATCCTGCAAATAAAACATTAATCCATGTAAACATGCAGAATCAGAACCTCATATAGAAACTGAACACAGCAATATTTGAGCTCCCTCATCTCTTAAAATGTCAAGAAATCTAATGACAGAACTGAGCTTTGAAGATATTAAAAAAAATTGTTCGACTAGATAATTTTTCTGATCAAGTTCCTGTACCATCTTAAGCATTTATAAAACAAATGAAATAATTCATTACCATACTCAAAAAGATAAAGAGTATTGTGTTCTTTAGTATCCTTTGAATATGTTGAAACGTTGTAAAATTTCCTTTTGCACAAATCTCTCTTTGCGTCCCAGTGAATTCTGATCTTCAAATTGCTTTTCTGTTTAATATTTTAAAAAAAAAATAAACTAATTTCCCCAATGACATAATGTGAGACATATTTCAAATTTATTATGCATATAAAATGTAGTTTTTTCATGCAAAAAATTATTGTAAAGAAAAATGTTAAATGCGTCTTGATATATCATGCCATAGTATTAATCTTGAAGATTTTAAATTTCGTAAGGGTTACAGGTTAGAATTCTGATGGGTTGGTGTATTTTACATCAAGGTTTGGTGAAAAGTATAATTACATCATCGTCTATTTCTTTGTATGACACCACGGTTCCAGCTACATACTCCTTGCCTTCAAGCTGCATGATGACTCTTATTTCAGGTAATTTCTCTATCATGTCTACAACAAAATGTGAAAACATAACTAGATTGAGATGTCATCAATGTAATTTTTATTTTAATGTGCATTACATGTGCACTCGATTTAATCAGCACTTGATGTATCTTTATACCTAGAAAGGGTCTTTTTTTTTTAATTCTTAAAACCCCTGATTTTACCTCTGGTGAGCGGAGGAAGGATGTCGTTTGGCATTCTCTCAGGTAGACGAATTTTAATTGCCTTGGAATCCTTGTAATTTTTCATAATGGTCTTAGAATCTATCTCATTGTCGGGATTTTCTGCATCTTGAAATATGTATCTATACACATTTCCTTTCACAAATCCCACCACTGTGCCTTTATCATTGACAAATAAAACAAAATATATTTAAAATGTAGTGCTATGAAATGCTGCATATTTTGTTTGCAATTTTCAGTTTTATTCTATTTGTTTTCAAAAAGGTACATGCACGTGTTTTTTAAAATCATTATTTTATATTTCAATTAAATTATAATTATAATTGTTTACATGCTAAGTGAGACAAGTATTCTTTATAATTAAATAAATTTTAATGGTCATTATAATTTTCTCAAAAAAATGAACACACAAATAAAAAAAAATAATGATCATAATTATTCCAATACTTTAAATTAATTCTGCTTTCATTAACAATATAATACCCCATCCCCCACCCCCAACCCCCCGATTTTTACTTTATTAATTATACTTATATAACTTGGATGCACTCGAGAACCATGATAGCTTGGCATGAAATAATTCTTGAAAAGCTTACACCGCAATTGGTTAAGTAATTATTTGCTTTTTGATACGGAAAATATGTGAATGAGGAATTTCACGTTCATAAAATACTTGTATTTACTGGCTCTTTTAGGAAATACATGTAATTACTAAATAAACTTAAAAAATCATGTATTTGTTGAAAAGTTTAGCCAATTGTACACATTTTCACAAATTATACATACGTATAATCTAGTAAATGTATGAATGCTTTAAAACAGCGCTTCATAAATTTCTTTTTTTATTTCTTCAAATCATACAATAGACAATCGTCATAGATTAATTTTCGATTCTTGGCAAGATTAAGTGCACTGTCTGTCTAAAATTCCATTTCAAGCCATATATAGCATATCTGAGTTGAAAAATAATAATACGATATTGCTTGTCCACGTTATCTAAGTTCAAATTAAGATTTTCACCGATTTTGAAATCGACGTGTGTATGAAAAGGAATTCAACCAACTCATCCTTGAATATCACGATTATCAAGTATGACATACCTGTATATCATTGCTTAACATGCATGTACGCATATACTTGTATATATACATATATGTGTACACATGCACGTTCGTATTTATCTATATGATAAAAGGATCGACACTGATCAAGTGTATACCCATTTTTTTCTGAGTATAGTATTTTGCTATAGTAAATTTTCCTTTAGATGCTGGATGACCTCCCCCCTTCCATTGTTTGTTGTTGTAAGGTCTAGTTTTTTTTTTTGTTTTTTTTTTTGCTTGTGACTAAAGTGGACCCCCCTCCCCCCACGGAAAAAATTCCTGGATCTGCGCCTGTATCCCACCATAATAGCTTTATTTCTTTTAATAAACCCATTTAGCCTGGCTGAAATGAATTCTACTTTTAACGTCACGGTCATAAACTTCAAACCATACGAGGGAGGGAGGAAAAAGTTAAACAAACAAACAGAAATATCAAATAAATGAATATGAACTCATTTACATGAATCAAAATACTGTGAATATTTATGCATCATGTAACCTCACTGTTTAAACATTTTTGATAAATGTATCAGTTTAAATGATACTTCTTACCTCATTCGGGGTCCGAGAATTGTTTATTGATATGAAATGCAGTTTTTATTTGCTAAAAGGCAAACTGGCATAGAAATTTAACAATTAAGGACATTGGCAAGGTTCCTGGTTATTGTATAGAATTTATCAAGAACTTTTGAGTAGGTTTAAATGTACTAAATAGGCTATATTCTGGATTGTTTTACCTACTAATCCAGCATTCTTTTTTTTTGATTTTGTCAAATTAGTGCTTTTACAATTCTTAATGCATTTCCTATGTAAAATGTTGATAAAAGGGACCTACATAAATTTTCACCATAATATTTCTTCAAAACCCATTTATTTCATACAGTTTTTGTATTGTATACATTATTGTAACTTCATTTCCTATGACTTCTAGATATTTTGGTTGAAAATGTATATATAGAAAAAAGACATGGATATACCGGCACCGATCATCATTTTTGAGTTGCGTCCCTTAACAGCTAAAATTGGTCAAGTGACTGGTTGATTGTTTTTATCATGTAATTGACTGAATTGATTGAAATACATTGTCATAAAAATATTGACATGGATTTATTTTTAACTTTTATTCGTAATTACTAAATGCTGATTCCTTCACACGACCTAAGAACTGTTCTCAGTCGGCATGGTCGACCTACCTTTCAGCATATGTCGCATCTTTGCCCTTCCCAGCATACTGAGCATAACTATGGTAAATGACGACCTGTTTGCTCTTTGTCCCTGAATACAATGTACAACAAAGCCATTACAACTTTTCTTTCTTGCTGTTAGTGTATAGAAGATTCTACCCGCTGAAGGAAGTACACGTGCTTTTGTTTACCTCTATAACACGCTTTACTGGTTTTCACCGCTTGGAGAATTCTACACGGGAGATCACTCTCAATCACTATTTTACAAGTGAAAAAACCCATGTATTAAACCTTTTTTCTCCGGAAAGCCCTGACTTGCCAATGTCCTTAATAACTTGTACTACGGTCATAGAAAAATAATATGAGTGTACGCACCTTTAGATCCACCCCATTACTATTTATATTTAACCGATGAATAAAGATTAAAAAAAGCTGCAGAATTAAAATATAAAGTCCTATTGTGCCTGTTTTTCTTTTAAAATGTTTAAATATAAGATTTTATTAATTGTCCCTAGTTTAAAATGCTTTGTTTTACATTGTTGATTTTATAGATATTTTTAGTCATAAGTATAAACGAGAATTTAACAAAAATTAGTGCAATAGAACGTACATTTTTCAAAGAGAGGTAACTCATGAAAAAAGAAAAAATAGCGACTATTAATTCTACAGATATAATTATTTGTGTTTAATGTGTCAATTTTATGCAAACTAAAACTTTTTGTTTATGTAATATATGCGTATCTTGCTATTTTTACATTCATGCTGTCTTTATGTGAACACCGACTTTATCATGTTTTATTTTGAACATGTTGAAGGACATCATAAAATGATATATTTTTCTTGAATAAAGGGTTCCGACTTACAGTTAGTATTGCTTATCATATTGGGTGGGATAAAATTAACGTACCTACTTAATTTTATATAAAAAATTATACAACTTAATTAAGGCCTATGCTGATCTACACGCTACATACGTAGATCTACTTATTTTAAAACAAGTGCATACAGAATTTATATAGCAGGAAGCAAATTAATCGTAAATCGAGTCGAATTCAAAACTTTTAAAATTCGTTGACATTATAATAATGATTTCTTTTCTAATATCTCATTTTAATATAACTAAATATATTTAAGTTGATTCAAAGATTCTACTACTGAAGAAGTATTCCGGGAAATTAGCTTTACACAAGGCATTTATCAAAGTACTCAATTAAAGTATGGCGCCACCCGTGAACCATCACAAAACAACAGATTATGAATCAACAAGTATCAGTTTAACTGTGTTTAAAATTTCATCATGGTTCAAGGTTGGCGCCTACAAAAATTCATTTAAAAAAGTCCAGAATTTCTGTGAGAATCGGTATTTTTTGCAATACCATATCCGGTTTTGACATTTATTATAACGCACGTGCCATTTCCTTTCCAAAAGTCGAAACGGAATTTATAAGTCCCACATATAATAAAGATTTGACCAAAATTTCGCTGCATGATAATGAAGTTTGATTTTCAGGAATTGACAGGGCCGAATTATGCAAATTTTGGCTTTAGTTCTTTATTTAGTGTACAAAGATTAAATTTTAAAGATATTTTCCAAACATAACATTTATTCATTTATATACTGTGTCTTAAAGTTAATATCCTAATATATCATATGAAATATGTGGAGATGACGCACAGTATTCGAGCTCAACAGTCCTGTAAACATTACAAAATAGGAGCAGAGCAACACAGACCTCTAGACCTCTAATACATCAGCGGTAGGATCAGGTGCCATGGAGGACTGAGCATCCTCTACCGAACGGTCACACTCGTAGTGTGCTCCTTGTCATGATCGGGAAATAACGGAAAAATCCGTCGAGAATTCAGTGTGTAAATAATGGCCTAACAATTAGTATGAAAAAAGTCAGTCAGCAATTGACTTAGCAAAAGATTGCATTTGCTGACAAGGTCATTGTATCGAAAATAGAACTTACAAAACGATGACTTTAAACGAGACTGCTGATATTCTTGTTTCATCAACTTGTTTGCCAATTACTTTCCTCGTTTTAGAAATTGTTCATACGTTCATATGTTCATAGGGTATATTGCTGCACAAGTAAGGGAAGTTAAAATCATCACGTTTATCATAAAATTTTGTTGTTAGATACCATTTACGTCTTTTTCTAATGAAATATATCAATCCCAACGCAATTTCATTTTCCTCCATTCTTATGTAACCTCTATATCATTGCTATCATACATTTGAGATATGTAGCAGGCCTTAAACTTTTGTACAAAAAGTGTGTATATTCATAATTTTTTGTTCTTTCTAAATCACAATTTTCTGTTTTTTGTCATGCTAACAAAGAAATATTGGGATTCTTACTCCTCCATGGCACCTGATTCCTCCACTGATATTTTAGAGGTCAGTGTTTGCTCTGCTCCATAATTTGTATTGTTTAATGAAATTTTGGGCTTGAATACTGTTCTACTCTCCATATATTTCATTCCTTTTCATGATATTTTATATTTTCATTACCCTGAGGTATATAACTGGGATTGTCAGTTGTTCTGCCTCTTTCACCAACTTTTCAGTTGGTGGTTTTGTTGTAATGATAACTGGCATCATTTCTTCTCCCATGATATCTGCAAAAAACACCATACTGCAAGCTTTCTTTAAAATTAGCTGGAAGAATTTCATACTGGGTAATCAAATGATTATTTTAGCATTGGAAAAAGCTAATATTTTCAAATATTTTTATGATGTCTGATCTAAGACTTACGCTCTGCCAATCCAAGGAAGTATTTAACTAATAAATCATCTTCTTTACACTGTTTTTCTATCTGTTTAAAAACTACAATTCCCTCCTCTATTAAACTCTATTGAAAAAGTAAAAAAAAAAAAGAAGAAGAAGAATATTAATGATTCCTAAATTGAAAAAATATATATACAAGGAGAGTCTCATAAAACATCATGCATATACTCAAACATTATAATCTAATTTCAAACCTTGATTACTCCTGCAGTTGTTGATTCGTGAACACCACATGCTTCGTTTTCAACATCCAGTTTTTTACCGATGAGAATCTTGTCGTGGACAAAATGACACGGACAGCTGGTTAATTCTTAAATTTTTTGTCATTAAAAAAAAGGAAACACTTTCATTCAAGAATGAAGAAAGAAGGAATTAAAAACACACATTTTCTTTGTTATTTACATAAAAGATTGTGTCTGTATTTTACACTTTTCTAACTTAGTTGGTGCCTATATTGCTTTACACCTTCAATTCAAAGGTTTTTTTTTTGTTTTTTTTTTTATATCAGCAAAACTGAGATGCTAATGACAATTATTTAACATGACACTTTTAAACTTTTATAAAATAAATCCTGAACCTTCAAATCTGTGTCGCAAATTAATATCCTCCAAAATATAATGCAGGGATGGCCTGAATGTTGTTTCTTTCTTCACAGAGTTTCCATTTTTCCAAATTTGAACCTGAATTTTCTATATTAAAGGATAGGCATTGTAGGTACATATTCGATATTAAATAAAGTAACATTTTTTTTAAATAAGGGAACTTTATGTTTTTAGTATTTTAAAAACCATGAATTGAAATTAGCCTAAAAATCAATGCT